AAGTAAACTGACCCAAAATTAGATTATGTTTTTTTTTCTCTCTGTTATAAAAGATGATTGGTCTGCCACTGATGCTTTTAAGCGTTTCGTGCCTAGAAAGTAAAGACTCTGTTTCATGCTATCTTAATCAGATCCTCCATTACTTAAAAACAAAAAACAAAACAAACAAAAAACCCCACCAGATCTAATCAATACTAAGAACTAAGTGTTTCTACCAATTATCTAAACTGTTTTTGTCTTTGAAATCTTTTACTGTCGCTCTGGTTAAGTGGATAATCAATAAATAAGAAAAAACATTGAGCCTTCTTTATGTTGTGTTTATATACCAGTATGTTATAAGTGTTCCAGAAATTATGTGAAATTGCTGGAAATCTGAGATGTCCTGACATCAGGAGCCTGTTACCAAAATTGAGGGACACACTAAAACAAATGAACATGTGTATCATGTTGTGGCATTCAAGGATGAAATTTATTCTGGTTTTGTAAAAGTGAGTCCTCCTTACCAGACTTTTGCCATTCTGGTGGCCTTGCTACATGGCAACAGTCTGCTTCTGAAACAGAGAAATTTAACAGGGTAAACAATGGCTGTAAAGGACATGAATAGCAGGGCTTATGGAGAACCCAAGGTTGTTACTTCCAGGCTCCCTGACTTTCTTTGTTTCTTTTGTAAGTTTTTTTTGTTTTTGCATTTCTTCATCCACCATAGTACATTTAAGCTGGACATCATTCAAGCACCACCTAGCTTGGGTTATCAATGTGTTCTCCTTGTTGTATGTGTGTTTTCTGGTTGAGTTGAAGCTTTCCCCTGTCACGAGGTGGATGCCCTCACAGTGGCTAAGAAATTGTTTCCCACTTGGGGTATACCTTTCAAAATCTTTAGTGATCCAGACATCCACTTAACTGAGGAAATCATGTGGGCCTTGAAGGACAGCCTTGTAGACTTCTTGGGATTATCGCTGACCCCATCACCATCAATTATCAGGCAAGGTCGAGAGAACTAAGGAGGACAAAGCCTGGATTTAAGCAGAACAAGTGTAATTACACAGATTGGAATGAACTGGTGAAAATAGTTACAATTTTTATGACAATTTTGTTTATTTGAGTTTTCAGAAAAATCTTTTGTTTTTCAGGTGAAAGGAAATTTGTTTCTCTTAAACTGCCTGTGACTTAGCAATTTGGTAAATTATGCCATTGTAAGCAGGACTGAAACATTTACTTTCTTCTGTCTGCCTGATCCCTCCATAATTTGGAATCTCTCAGTGACTGAGTATTATTATCTTCATGGAAATGTGCTTGTTTGTGTAAGTTCAATATGAATGTGTGTGGGAACCATGCCAGAGTCCCCAGATAGCCAAGGCCACTCAGAGTGTGAAAGGCCTTGCTGTTAGTATGCCAGAATGTCCAAGGCCACTCTGTGTCTAGGCTAGATACCATAAGCAGGTGCAAGGACACAAGCACAACAATCCCACGGTATACTGCACATGTGTGCCCTTCTGTAGCCAAAATATGGTTGATGTAACTATTGGCATGAAGCATTCTTTGTCTCTGAAATAATATACAATTACTGACCAGCTAGTTTGCTGGAGTGTGAAGAAGTGTGCCGGAGGGGGAGGGGGGAAAGCTAGAGAGCTCAGACAGAGCTTAAAGCTGGTACTGCTATGATGTAACGTTAAGAGATCATAGAGAGCTGAGATATAGCTACCATATGAACCAGCTAGAATATGCTGGGCAGGATAGACAGGAGAAGCTGCTGAGCCAGAGAGCTCAGATATCACTACGATGTAAGGCGGTGATGTTGCAGAAGACTAGAGAAAAACCAAGCAATGCTTTAGAGAAAAGGAGTTACACAGTTTATTACTCTGGCAGGCTCAGTGGAATAACTTCCCATGTCTGAGCAAAGTAACATCCAGGGAGCTTCTTTTTTATATCTTTCTGGTGTCTTTGTCCCTTAAATATGGATTACGCTTCTGGTCCTTTTGCGGGCTTTGCAAAAAAGGCCCCAGGTGTTGGGGGTCGTCTTGAGACAATATCTAATGGTTTGACCTGGCGCCAGTGCTAATAACACCCCCCCTCCGGGGCTGTGCACTGTTCATAGTTTATGGCCTTTGTGAAGTGTGAGCATTTAGGTAACAGGTCCTGCAAAACCAGTTTCAGGAAAGAGTCAGTGACTTAAGAATGTACACTGGGCTTGCTAGCACAGATTCAGATTGCTAGCCCCCCAAAAAAAATATCAGGGTTACATTGGAATTAGCCTTTTTAATCTTCTCATTCTCCTCTTCCCCCTTGTCCCACAAGCTTCTCTTAGCCTTGTGGTACAAGGACTATGGATGTTATGATAAACAGGGACAATGACCGCTCTTAGCTGCTTCCTGCTGATAAGGGGCAAAGACCAAGGGGTTAGCATCCTGTTTCTTCCTCTCGGAGGGGTTTGTAGGGAAATCTGGTTTGTAGGACCATCTGAAGTTTAAAGGCATCTAGGTGAGATGAGATAAAGCAAGTTAAGAAATTTAGAATACATGGTCCTAATGTTACGGCTATGAGTAGCATTAACAGTGGTCCTGCCAATGGAAGAAGCCATTTCCAGACCCCCCGCCACCCCCAAATAGCCCAGGACTCAGATATCTCCTGTCTTCTTTTTGTTGCTCATTCGATTAGATCTTTTGCCTTATCCCATACAATGCCTGACTGTTTGGCATAAAAGCAGCACTCTTCTCCTAAGAAGAGGCAGATTCCACCTTTCTCTATTGTTAGTAAGTCTAATCTTCTTCTATTCTGTAGTACTACTGTGGCTAAGGATCAACTTGATCCTGTAAGGCAATTAGAGTCTCAGCTACTCTCTCTATGTCTTCTGAAAATTCTTGGGTCAAAACTTGATAAGAGAAGGCAGTGAGCTATTCCCCCTATCCTGGCTTCTATACTACCCACAATTCCAAGCGCTATTAGAAAGGGGATTCCTTGCAGAGCCCTCTTATGTCTAGTTACTGCTTTAAGGGGGGTCTCAATGGATTGGTTGTTGGGTATAATAGACATATCTGGGGTTAGATAGTCAGGAGTGCACACTCCCGTCCAGATTGCAGGCAGGCAGAGATAAGCAGCGGTCACACACACAGAATGTTCCTACAGGGGGACACCAGAGGTAGGTGGTGTTTTCAGCCTTGAGGGTAGAGTTGCATAGTTCATCTGGGAGGCGACCTGTTGGGTGTTGGCCCTAGGTGCTGTTGAAGCAAATAGGGGCAACATTAGTTAGCTGCACATTGGCTGTGACAGGTCCTATTATTTCTTCTGTTAAGTTCCCTGGTATAGTTATGTTTATTGGAGTAGCCATTAATAGGAGTGGTCCCAGGGGGATGCAAAGCCAGCAGTCCATAGCCAAATAAGGGCAGGTAATATTGAGGAGGTGGTGGGTTGGGTTGAGGAGCTGATAAAGCCAGGGGTCTACAACATATAGCTTCTGTGGCTGAGTCCTCAGCTTAGGTAATCTGGGTGCTTTATGTTCAAACAGCTGCCTGATAGTCTTTTAAAAAAATTTCTTTATTGATTAAGGTATTACATATGTATCCTTATTCCTCCATTGCCCCCCACTTCCCCTCTCCAAGCATGCCCTAACCCTCCTGTTGTGTGTGTCCATTGGTTAGGCTTATATCATGCATACAAGTCTTTTGGTCAATATCTCCTCCTTACCCCACCCTCTCCTACTTTCACTCTGAGGTTTGATAGTCTGATCGATGCTTCTCTGTCTCTGGATCTGTTTTTGTTCATCAGTTTATGTTGTTCATTATATTCCATAAATGAGTGATATCATGTGATATTTATCTTTCTCTGACTGGCTTATTTCACTTAGCATAATGCTCTCCAGTTCCATCCATGCTGTCACAACAGATAAGATCCTTCTTTTTGGTAGCTGAGAAGTATTCCATTGTGTAAATGTAATACACAGCTTTTTTATCCTCTCATCTACTGATAGGCCTGTTGGCTGCTTCCAACCTTGGCTATTGTAAATAATGCTGCAGAGAACATAGAGGTGCATATAATCTTTCAAATTAGTTTTTCACTTTTCTTTGCATAAAATCCCAGAAGTGGAATTGCTTGGTCACTAGGTAGTTCCATTTCTAATTTTTTTAAAAATATATTTTATTGATTTTTTACAGAGAGGAAGGGAGAGGGATAGAGAGTTAGAAACATCGATGAGAGAGAAACATCGATCAGCTGCCTCCTGCACACCCCCTACTGGGGATGTGCCTGCAACCAAGGTACATGCCCTTGACCGGAATCGAACCTGGGACCCTTCAGTCCGCAGGCCAACGCTCTATCCACTGAGCCAAACCAGTCAGGGCAATAAA